CCCCCCCCGCGCCCCGGCCCCCCCCGTCCCCCCCCCCCCCAAACATCCCCTCCAGAGGAAACACAGCTGAATCTGTTTGTCCAGGTGGCTGTCCCTGGCATCGAATGTGCCGGCTGGGCACAAAGTCAGGACGTCTGCGAACATGCAGGGCTGGGTGTGCTTTCCTTCAACAGCCCGCTGTACCCAGTGGTGGTTGTCAATGATGCTCTGGCAGCATTGTTGCGACTTTTCCTAGGCAGTGCTGTCGGGCTGACTAAGACTAAGGCTGCAGATGCTACCAGGCAATAAGACATTGAGCACGATCTCAGACCCAGACCCACACAGCCAAGCACTGGAAGTCAAACTTGTTAGGCAGTGCTTTCGAACGGTTGACAACATTGGCCAAGATGGCCAAAGCCATCTCGGCCGTATAGACTCCTGTGCACATACTGGAAGTGCGAACTGGCTCTGCCAGCCCCAGAAAAGATTCCTGAGCAAGGCTAGGCAAAGATGCAAGTGCAACCCGGAGCTGCTTTACAAGCTAAGGGGCTCTAAGCTTCTCGGGCTGCATATGCTCAAGCACGTGTGCCCAGGATTCCTTCCACATCGCAATCGAACATTGGTGAGCTGTCCAGATTGCACCTACCTGCCCGCCTCCAGTGCATGGCATAGCTGGCCCAGCTTGTTCTCCCGTTCGACGACAGAGGGGTCCTGCCCAGATTCAGATTTCTGTTGGGTGATCACGAACTAACTACAGTGACCTAAATTTCCTCATAAGGCCACAGAATGCTCAGAGCTCTCTACGACATGCTGCGACTGCTTGCAGCTGTAGACCAAGGAAGTCCTCCTGCGGCTGGAGAAGCACGTGAGACTGATCCGTGACTGTCTCCAAGGAGCTAGACAGCAAGGAAAACGACCGTCGCATGGGGGGCGGCTACAACTAAGCAGCCTACAGCAGGCTTCAAAAAGGACTCGGAAAGCTGTATCGTCGTTTTGCCTGCAGGGCTGTTGCAACACCCTTGTACAAGCCTGATGTTGAGAGCTATCCCTGATGCGCGACAAGCTTGCATGGCTTGAGTTCACCAGAGCCGTCATTCGCAGTACATCGACACAGCATGCCATGGCCCAAGAAAGCATGTGCAATGCAAGGCTCTGGCCAGCGGTGGTCCAAACCCGCCAAGAGCTTTCCAAGGGCCTCAGGACAAGTACTTTCTGAAACCATAATACATACATTCCTCCTCAGAAACCTAAGCCCGGAACAAAAAACCCAGAAGCACTCCGTCGGCACTTTGGCAATGTTGGAGCCATCCATGGTCACCTTCAGCACAACTTTCACATCGTGGCTATGTATATATGCACAACACCTTCAGGGCACGACGTGAAAGACACATTGATCGCGGAACTCTGCTCGCATCCGCTCAATGTACGGGACCTCAGGCCACACACACACAGAAAGACACATTGCTCTCGAAACTCTGCTCGCATCCGGTCAATGTACGGGACTTCAAGCCACACACACACACACAAAGTCAAGAAGTTACCCCTGCAAACCAGCCCCGTTTCACCAACAAGCTACCATGGCTTTCTGTGCGAAGCTTGACACATCCAGCTTCACAGAGTCTTGAGCTCGGCTGATGAGCGATGCCTACGGGACAGGTGCAAGCCCTCACAAAGTCTTGCCCACACAGCCACAACTCAAAGATGAAATTGCTAGCAGCCAAACCTCCCCGTGTCGTAGTTTGCGAACAGACTCCACGAAACTGGAAAGTGGAACTCGCCGACGAGGCATATGCCGCATCTGCTCCGCCTCCTTCGCCACGTCCAGACAAACATCATCCTTGACTGAACTGCAATGCAGGGGCCCGGGATTATAGCTATGGTAATCGGTTCTCAATGCTTGCCCACAGAGTGTCCAACCGCTTCGCGAATTGTGCCAGCAAGCTAGCTGCTACACCTCTGGCAATTCGTTGCTCCTCCTCCCCAAGATCGGACCTTGTCTGCGACATTCTGCGATGTTCCAGACGACATCGGCTTTCTAAAACACGACACTTCCACGACAAATGCTGGCCTGGTCACTTCGGCGAGAAAGCAAAGGCTACAAAGTCCACCGCATGAGGGGTGTGGCCGGGGGAGGACACGAGCGAAAGCTTTGCATCATCCTCGGCCAGCACTAGCTCGCTACCAGCTAGAGCAACCTACTCAAAACCATACAATGGCAAACTGGCTGCAAACCTGCTTCATGCAGAACGATGTTCCAAAGCCCTGGACCACTTTTGCACGAAGTAATCCCTCCTGGGGCAGTCCCCTCTGCCCCACAAGGCATCACCATGCATGTGCCCTGAGACATTGATCTCAATATCTTGTACTTGGAAAAATCGCATCTCTGGCAACCGCACCGACCACACCCCGCGCTGAGAGACACTCGAAAACAGGTACTTCAGCACCTCGTGAACACGCGCCTGTGTCTTCGATCGCTTACCGTCATGAGCCAGCTGCCAAGCCAGCATAGCAATCAAGACTGATGTTGGAACGGTTCGCTCGGGGAGCTTAAGCGACTCATCTGCATCAGCCCCGACCACTGGCATGTCAATCCCAGGCCAAATCTGTGCATGGAACTCACGAACTTGGCTTAGTGTACCCTGCTCGAAAAAGTCTTTCTTCAGTTTCCGGCGTCTGGCAGCACATCTAGTGGCTTCCTTCACGCCCTCCTGTGCCGGACGTTCACTGTCTTGATAGATGTACTTCAAGATGTATGCAATGGTCCATTCTTTCTGCCGCCCCTGCATGCACAATGGCTAAGGGTGGGCGGAACACTCAAAACCCTTGCCAAGCCCGGCCTGCACTTCCCACACAGGAACAATCTCGTTGCCACATCGGAGCTGGCGTTCTGCTGTCACATGTGCCATCGCTCAGTTGCTAATGGTGTCAGACCATCTATGTCAACTGGAATTCTGAAGCTATATACCTCGGAAAGTCCAACCCCACTGCCTACACAAAGCCGATGCCGACACACCGCCGCTGCTTTTTTTTTCTTAGCTTAGAGGGTACAGGGCTAGGAACAGGGTTTAGGGTCTTTGCGAGCTTGGCTGCTGGGTTTTCTGAAGCTTCCATTGTAAGCTGAACTCCTGCAAAGGGTCTTCATGCCTGGCCGGCCGCATCAAAAAAAGCATTTGCTACCCTCCGCATGCAATCAAAACAAGCAGTACAGATAACACCGGATAATACAAACCTTCACTATCCATTGCTTATCCTCTACTTATCCACAAACTTCATGATAAGGCTTGGATAGCAAAGGGACCCCCCCCCAGGGGGCCCCCCCGCAGCTCCGTGAGAACCTAGCCGCGGCGGGGTAGGGTTCAGGGTTCGAAGAGACTCCAATATCCCTTAATTTATCATAGTCATTGGGGATCCTACTAAAGTTTAGTATAAGGTGTGTATGTGTATACATACATATATATAGATATACACATATATTTCGTAATTACTATAAGGTGTGTATATATATATATTATATTTATATTTTATATTTATATGTATATTTATATTTATATTTATATTTATATATATATGGGCGCGTGGTTATCCCCCCCTACATTTTAGCATCTTCCCCCCTGCAC